ATTCGTGGCTAACCACGAATGCCTTGTCGCACACCTGGTCGGCGCAGAAGGTCGGCGGGGCTTACGCCGACCCGGCGATGAAGCTGGTGCTTATTGAGACCGCTTTGCCAACCGAGGCGAGCATGGAAAAGCTGCAGGACTTGGCGTCGGACCTGATGAAAGGCGAGTGTCCTAGCCGTCTCGCCGGCTACGCCCTGCGTGGGACAACAGCGGGCGTGTGCTACACCCTCCAGTTCGACGCCGGCCTCGACGACTCGCTCTTCACCATCGACACGACCGGCGTCGCCGGCCTCGTCATTGCCGGCGAGCACGGGCCGACCGAGTTTGAGCGTGACCGCCACTATCTCTACGACTCGTCCGGCACCGACATCGAGCCGATCGCCGAGGGGGGCGACGCGGACCACGACATCTCCTTTGGCTCGCACTCCTTCAACATGGCGCTGCTCCTCTCCCTCTTCGCCGGTCTCGCGACGGCAGTCGGCGGCCTCGTCGTCTACCTGCCCGAGTCGCTCCATGGCGGGCGTGAGGCGACGCTTGCCTGTGCCCTGGCAGACACAGACGCGCAGAGGTGCGTACTGCCAGGCGCGAAGTGCGACCAGAAATGAGGACGCAGCACTCGTAGGCCGCGTCGGGCGGCGTCATGCTCTACATCTCGTTCGTCGACATCTTTGCGGAGGCGCAACGAGTTATAGCCGAGAGGCAGCCGAGAGGCAGAGCCGAGAGGCCGCCGAGAGGCAGAGCCGAGAGGCCGCCGAGAGGCAGAGCCGAGAGGCAGCTGAGAGGCAGAGCCGAGAGGCAGCCGAGAGGCAGAGCCGAGAGGCAGCTGAGAGGCAGAGCCGAGAGGCCGCCGAGAGGCACCTCGGCACAGGAGGCTAGCATCGGAGGCGGCGGGCGCTCCGCACAAGCGGATCCGCACGTCGAAGCGTCCATACGAGCCGCCGGAAGGGCCGCCGCCAAAGCGGCGTTCGACTGTTGCGCCTTCATGCGGCCTCCCGGCCAACGACGAGAGCGCGCCATTCCACGCGCCGCCCGCCGAGGCCGCGGTCGTG